AGCCGCTACGTGCGCCTTGCGAGGGGCCCAGGCTCATGGGGGCCGACGCGCACTACCGTGCTCTTATCCCCCCCCCCAGTCCGCCAATGACCCTTGGGAGGAGGGGGGGGACCTCAAGATCCATCCAGACCGCCCAAAAAACGTCCAGAAGCCTCCTCGATGCTCGATACCCCCCCCGTGGTGTCAGGGTGGACGAGTGGGGGAGCTAGCAAGGGGGGAGGGGGGGGGGCGGGTCACCCGCACCGTTTCGCCCCGCGCCCGCCCGCGCCCTGCAATGCCCAAGCCCGCCCACACCAAGCCCACACTGGCCCTGCACTGCACTGCCCCAGGGCGACGCCATCTATGCATATCCGCTGCACCCTGGCCAGGCCCAGCCTGAACCCCGCAGCGGTGTGTATGCCACGCCCTCCTGGCTTGGACAGGAGGGCGCATACACAGCTCCTGGGTTCAGGACGTGGGGAAACCAACCGCCACTCCCTGGACCTCTCCTGGGGTGCGTTCTGACCAGAATTTCGGGGCGAATCCAGCGGTGGCGACGAGGGCATCCCAGGAGGCTCAAAAAGGGGAGAACGAGAGGAGGGTAGCACAGTATGGGTACCTCTTTCCTCCTCTGAGGATGCGCCTGGCCAGAGAGCAGTGGATGTGTATAGATCTCGTCGCCCAGTGCCCTTCCCTGCACCGCGCCGCCCTGCGCTGCCTGCGCGGGCGCGGCCTGCAGCGGCGCCTGCGCCCCGGCGCCGGAGGGCGGCTCCGCCTCGTCGAGCGCCGCCTGCGGGCGCGGCGGTGCGGGGGGGGGGTCGAGCGCGGCGGCCGTATCTGAAGGGGCCCACAAACACACAAATAAATGCACACAAATAAAAAGATTCCCCATATTTTCTCATATTTTCTGAGTTTTTGTCTTCCCCAATATTTTCCTGGGGATCGACGATTAATTGTGTCTGTGTGTTTCTTCCCCTCCTGAGTATCAGTATCCGCGCCCTCGCGGTCTGGACTCCTGGGCGCGATCCCGCGGACTCGATTTTTGATCGCGACCGCGGCGGAAGCGGTCGGGCGGCGTCCAGGAGCGTGGCAGCGTGGCACCCGGGCAACGGCCGCGCGCAGGGGGGAGGAGGGGCGAAAAGAGGCAGGAGGAGGAGGGGAGAGGAACAGACAGGAGGCGAGCCTCGCTGCCGCTCCAAGGCTCCCGCGGACACGCGGCCGCACGGACACCCTCCGCACGAGGCGTCCGCGGAACAAAGAGCTCCGTGTCTGCGGGGTCGCGGCCCAGGGGTCTGGCCCGCGAGGCCGGGGAGTGCGGACACGTTCTGTGCCCGCGAAGGGGGGGGGGCGGGAGAGCGAGGGGGGTGCCGTGCGGCAGCGCCAGTGCAGGGCTGCCCCTGCAGCCGAGGCGCTCCAGGTGCGGGCCACGAGAGCGACGCGGGCCGGGCTTGCAAGTTTCCCCCCCCCCCCCCCCCCTCCCGCCCCACTCCTCTCCCTTCATGCGTCCTCTTCATTACAGTCGGGGCGTTGACCTAAGGAACCCTAAATAAGGAACGAGGCCCCTTTTTTCCATGAGTTAAACTTCGATGTACGATCGAAAACATGAGGAAAACCTAAGGCAAGCTGTGAAACACTTAAGGAACGCGGAGCCCCTCCCGAACGAAAAGGGTTCCTTCTTCAAGACCCCTGCTGTATGTGTTTGTCCGATACTTGGCCAATGAAGCGTCAACAGCAGAGCTCGCAATCGTATAACCGTGGGCGGCGATCATCCATTCCCCCCGGTCTTATCCGCAGCACCCCGAATCAGGTAATCCCCAAGGGGGGAACCGCCGAGCGATACCGCTGGCAACGCAACACGATAGTTCATTCAGCAATTCTGCGGGGGGGGGGTCAGAGGAGTGCGGCGGCCCTCGGCGGTGGACAAACCTCCCTTCAGTAGACCTCCACTTAGTGAAAACGGCCTGGGACCGAAACCGACGGACCTGGACCAGCAAAAATGATGGCCGCGACGCCCTCTCGCGAACCGAAAACGGCCAATTCACTAATCGACGCGTCAGGGTAGGGGGTCTGTCCACACCCGACAATAGTTGATTCAACAATTCTGAGGGGGGGGTCAGAAGAGTGCGGCGGCCCAAAAGAGACCTCAAGACGGCCGCTCCGGAGGCAAGGCAAGAACGGCCTCAAGAGCCCCAGCCTGCGACACGGATCCCTGCGACAGCCCAGAGACACTCGAGGGGTACCATAGAGCTCCGTGGACTCCTGTTTGGATCTTGGCGGGATCACGCACTGAGGAATCCAAGGGCTGGGCCACGACTTCCTGGGGCGAGAGAGCGATATGATTTCGCTGAAAATTCGGGGGGGGGGGTCGATTATCGCCGCGGTGGTATCGATTTCGCTCTGCGTCCAGTAATGCGGGATGACGATTAATAAAAAATGGATGAGAACGATTAAAAAAATAGTTTTCTGCTATTTCTGCATAATTTTCTGACTGGAGGAGAACGATTAAGAAAATAGCTTTCCAGCCCGCGGCCGGCTTTTTCTAATCGTCATCCAGGGCGCCGCCGCGCGAACACGACCCCTGGTCATTTATTAATCGTCATCCTCCAGTATCGGGCCGGCCTGCGTGCTCGCACGGTGCTTGGAACGCCCGGTGCCCGCCGGTGCCGGCGCTGTGCCCGATCCGCACGCCGGATGCCTCTGCTGGACGCTCGCTCCGGTGCCCGACCGTGCCGGCCTCGTGCCCGCGCTGTGGGCTCGTCCGGGGTTCTCCTGGCTCTCGCCATCGCTCGGACGTCCATTCCCTGTGTTTTTTTCGGTTTCGTGCGTGGTTTTGTCGCCAAATGATCAAGGATGCTCCTCGATGGTTCTCGCCGAGAAAAAAATGCACACGTCCGAGCGATGCCAGGGGCTTTCGCTCGGCTCCCGTCCCGCGCGGCGCAGCGGGAGGCGGGGAGCCTGGGGACCCCCGTGCCCCATTTTGTGGGGTGTTCGGTCAGACAAGATGTCGTGGGCCCTGCTCTGGGATGTGCAGCATGGCGGTGCGCCATGCCCCTCCTCCTCTGGGCGGCCGGTGCTCTTTGGGGGGAGCAGCTCGGGGACTGAGGGCGAGACATCGGCTGCGAGGGAAACGGGAAGGGGCGGGGCCCGGACCAGGAATAGACGAGCCCGCTCCAGTACTCGCGAAGGAGCTACTCGCAAAGGGCCTCGAGCCGCCGTGGGGGATCCACGATATACATTACATCGAAGCAGACATGTGTTAGTGCATGCCTCTGTTTTCGCGCTGCGCCTCGGTGCTGTCTTGCCAAGACGACTACTGAGGCTCTCGCTCGCATGCTGGCCTGCACTACCTTCGGTCCGCTCTGGCGGGTCCTCCCCAAGGGTCCCCCCCGTCAAGCGTGCCTCTCATCATTTCGGGCGTTTGCGAGTAGGCACTTTGCGAGCAGTGGAACGCGCTCGGCGAAGGAAGCAGGCAGGCCCGAGTGCTGCCAGAACTGAGCCGGGCCCGAGAGGACCCCAGCCGGGAGGGCGCAGGGAGGGCCCCCCGAGCACCCCCCACGAGGCACAGTGGGCCCCAGACCCAGAACTCCGACGTCTTGATTCTGTATTAGTGCGGGGTCACTGGAAGCCCCGACCCATTCCCTGGGACAAGCTTTTCATGCCGGGTCGCTTGCGTGACGGTCCCGGAGCCCAGCGAACGCCTCGAGAGGCTGAGAACGGCCAACAAAAAGGCGTCTTGACGTCTTCAACATGTCGGATCTCTGGGAGGGCGGCGAACGCCTCGAGAGGCTGAAACGGCCCACAAAAGTCCGTCTCGACTTTTTCGATACGTTGGATCTCTGGGGAGGCTCCATAACGGCGCCCGCAGCTGGGTGCGCCTCAGGCCGGAACCGCTCCCAGCAGCACCCGAAGGGGCGCGGGAGCGGCGGCGGCGGCACGAGGCGGCCAAACGCGCGCTGCCAGAGCGGCCGCGGGCGGGGCCGTGAGAGCCCGGCGACGGCGACGGCGACGGCGACGGCGACGGCGACGGCCACGGCCACGGCCACGGCCACGGCCACGACGACGACGACGACGACGACGACGACGACGACGACGACGACGACGACGACGACGTCGGCCCCTCACGAAAGCAGGCGGAGGACAGGGAGGGGGGCAGCGGCGGGGGAGGGTTCGGGTCGGTTCGGTTCGGTCGGGCCTGGACGGTCGCGCGGCGCATCGCGAGGCAAGCGACGCGCGCTCACCTGTGCTGCCCCCCCATGCGAGCATGCTCGAGCTGGCCTCCTCGGGGCAGCAGCGAAGATGGGGCGCAGGGAAGGGCTCCTTTTCCTCCCTCAGTCGCCTCCACCAGCCCGCTCTGTCCTATTCCCCCGTGGACTTGGACTGCGGCCCGAGGCCGATCCAGACTGGCCCGTAAAAGTGGGCCGCGGTGACATGCGCCACACTTTGCCCTCACTGCTCCTCCCCGTCCTCGCGTTCCTTCTTCTCTTCCTTCCTGCCCCTCCTCGCCCCGTGCTCCTCGTCCCCTGCTCCTCCTCGCCCCCTGCTCCTCCTCGTCCTCGTCCCTCGTCCCTCGTCCTCGCCTTCCCTTTTCTCTTCCTCCCTCCACCCAATCCCCCCCCCCGCTCCTGTCCCTGCATACACGTCGTTCATTTCTAATCGTGCTCATTTTTTTTGCCGTGGCAATGCATCGCGGCGCAACGGCTGCACACGAGCTGTGACGGCAGGCAGCCACTAGGCCACCCCGAAAAAAGGCGCGGACCTCACTGTCTGAGAGCCGCACTGCTGCTTCGGCTACTCGCACGCCCACCTGCGTGAGGTGCCAACCACCAAGCAACTTAGCCTTCGCGCTGGTGACCTGCCTCGAGGCCGTCTGACCTCGGCAGCGGTCACCTAAAGATCGAAAAACTCGCCCTGAGCACCGCACCCCGCATCGGCCACAAAAGGTGAAAAGGCCCCGCGCGGTACAGCTGGTGCCCCTGCGCTGGGTCTAGGGCCCTGTTGGCCACACTTCCACTGGGCTGGCCCCGAGTTCGGCCCCTCTGGAAGAGGTGGAAGAGCAGCAGGAGGGGCAGGAGTGGCAGCAGCATCAGCAGCGCCGGCTTGGGTCGCGCTTAACTGCGCTGGGGAAGGCACAACAGGCTCGGGCGGCTGGGAGGTAGGCGTCAAGGCGCCTCGGCCTCGGCTGCGACTCCCATGCACACGCGCGCCTACTCCACCGCCACGACCAAGACCCACCCTCATAGATCACTCGCTGCCGCACTCCAGGGCACCGCTGGCGCTTGTACTGCGCCGCTCGGGCCCCTTGCACCTTGGAGCGCGCACCGCAGTCCAGGCACCTGTACCACTGGCCCTCCGTGACGAAGTTGCGCCTCCTGACCGTCGGGCCCCGCGGCCGTCCTCGCGCCACAGGGCCAGCAGGCGCGCTCGGCCCTTCCGCATCACCGCCACCGTCGGGGTCCTCGATGGGGTCGTCCTCCTCCATCTCGTCGTCGGCAGGCGCGGCTGCTGCTGCTGGCTGGGTCGCCACCCTCGCAGCCTCCTCAGCTGCGGCAGCCACCTCATCAGGCGATGCGCCTGCTGCCGCTGCCGCTGCCGCCGCCACAGCTGCCGCTGCCGTAGCCGCGGCATGCCCTGCCGAGGTCATGGCAGGCCTCGCCTCGTCAGCCTCGGGCTGCCGTCCTCGCAGCTGGGCCTCTCGTCGGCGCTGCGCCCGCGCCTCCTCTTTGGTGGGCAGCGCGACGTCCCCGAAGTCGCCGACCTCCACTGCCATGTCTGCCACGAAGTCCAGCTCTT